ATCGAATGCTAATGTTTTAGTTAATTCTCATATACTGTTTAGCATATCTCTATTGGGCATTGGCTCACCCTACTTGGGACACCATTTTTCAGGTACAGGTGATATGCCGCCTCCAAGATCTTAGTTTGGGAGGTTTAGGAGTTGAAGACTCCGTATTGTTATTTATATTTTGTGTTAAATGTAAATCCAAGCCGAGGGCTTTTCATGTATAGAGTTAGAACTCTTCTTTTGTTATAACCAAGTGTTGGCTTGGAAAGCTGTAAGCTCGTAGGGCATTTATTTTGTTACTAACATGTAATATTTTCGCAATACAAACTTTGATGAATGAAAAGATGATATTTCTATTATGTTTTATGGATTTATTGAATGGTTGGTTTATGTCTTGTTTTGAGGGTGTTACACCACCTCTAACTTTGTCCTTGGGTTAAGTGGAACTTTGTAATCTAAAACCCAAAATGCTGAAAATTTGAGATTGAATTTTATTATATACATATATATATATATATATATTCCCTATTCAACTCTTTTTTTCTCAGCAACAATCAGTGTTGTAATTTGCTAACCTTTAGTTTCAGCTTGGACGCTTGACTGATGACTTGTGTATTTCTTGTTTGCAGTTGTTGGGTTTGGAAAGAAGAAGGGACCCAACTCTTCTGAGAAGTAAGCTCACTGTAATGAGAATTAAGGTCAAGACATGTGTAGTTTTAGGTTGTTTGAATGAACGATTGGTTAGCAATATGTGATAGTGTTCTTAATTCCCAACTTCTGATATTGTTGCAATTTTCTATTTTACTGAACTATGTTGAATTTATTATTACCTTGTTAGGTAAAAAAAGTTTTGTGTTTCATTGTGTTTTGAGTTGAATTTTTCAACGGGTTTGATCCTTGATTATGTTTGTCTCAATGGAACAATTTTGAAGATTAAATTTTCCCTAGTCAATACGTGTTATCTGTAGTCACTAATGAGCTTAAGAATGCAATGATGGTGGAGTACCTTTCACATTTCTTGTTCATGAGTTAAATATATCTCACTTCCAACATGCTTGAAAAATAGTGGCAAGTTGAGACAATGTGGCCTTGAAATTCATTTGTGAGTTTGGGGATTGTGCACCAATATTTTGGGTTGCTCATGTTTTCTGTTACCAAACACAACAAATTCATCACAGGACCTCTTCAATGTAGTAAATTACAATAGTTTCGGGCCAATGATTGAAGCCATCAGGCAATTTGGTTCTAATTTAAAATTAAAACCACTAAGATATTATATGATGTGAGTTCTTTATTTAAAAATGATTGAAGCTATCGAGCAATTTGGTCTCGATTTTAAATTAAAACCACTAAGGTATTATATGATGTGAGTTTCTTATCTAAAAAAATGAATCACGTTAATAAATTGATAAAGAAAGATAAATAGTATAGGGCAAAGTAAGATTGAATGTTATTTTTGAGAAATTTTTGAAACGTTCAATGCTATCTTTCATGATTTTTGAAATATTGAATGTCCTTTTATTTTATTTTATTTTTTTGAAATTTTAAGAATATTTGTTTTATGTTAAAAACTTCACCTATATTATATTTTGGTTATCTTCAACAACTTGTGTCTCTCTTTGGTGATTCAAGCATCTCACGCTTAAGCTCCAAGATACCTTAGCGCCTCAATGTGCCTAAAGCTTTTTAAAACACTAGTTACAACATCTGATTGCTGGAGGAAAAATTATGGCTTGAGAGCTTGTATTGATGGTGATTATGTACTTGGTGTTGCAGTTATTGGACATGCTCTAGATTGTCTAATGTAATGGGAGCCATTGTGTGAATGATTACTTTCTTTGTTTCCATTTCTTATTCATGTTTGTGGAATATAAATTAGAAAATGCCAATATTGACCTGTCTATCCAGAAGAATCTCAAACAACATAACACTAATAGGAAGTGCAAGTAGCAAAATGATTTTGTTTTGCAAAGTGAAGCCTCTGCATATTTGTGTGCATATATATAAATATATTTGAGGAGTATAAATTGCAGTTTATATAATTTGATATACTAGAGTGGGAAAGGTGATTAAGTTTTCAAAGCTGCTTATTTAATATATTTTTTGAAAAATTAAAAAATAATTTGACAAAAATAAACACAATAAGAATTTATGAGCTTGTTTGGTTTGTATGTTAAGATATAATTTTTGAGAAAAAATTTCAAAATTTTGTCTGGTTTAAATTTTTTGAATTTTTTTTTGTCAAAATCACTTTCTCTCTCCTACACATCAATCAATCACTTTTTCTCTCTCCTCTCTCCTCAATCACTTTTTTTCTCACACACATCTACTCAACTACAACAAAATATTAAATAATCCTAAACTCTAAAACTATTTTCCAAATATAAAACCAAACAAATCAAAAAAAAATTCTAAACTCTCTCCCCAATTCTTTTTTTGAAAATTTATATCAAAATACAAACCAAACACACAATATGTTTTTAATTATTTTTTCATGAATCTAATTTTTGAAATGTCTTTAAAAAATCAAATCTAAAAAAATGTTCTTAAAAAATAAATTCTAAAAACTAAATGGAAGAGAGCCCATGGCTTTGACTTGACCAAAGACATTTCTAGGGTTAAATGGCAAGAAAATGTCTACTGTAACCACAATTGTAGACGAAAAAAGCCCTCCAAATTCATGATTTCCAGAATATTATAATAGAATTACACTATGTAAAAATTTAGCCAACTAAACTACTCTCAAATGAAACCGTTCGTGATGTACAACCATCTTTGTTAACTTTCTTCTCTATAAGCGTACATAATTTAAATCCCTCACAAGCAAAAAGAATCAGAAAACAAAGCAAACTCTTTGGTAGCGTCTGGTAACATCTACGTTTTTGGTTTATGTTTACAAAAATTTTATAAACTGATTTTTGAGTTTGGTTTGAACAAAATGTTTGAAAAAGTTTAAAAACATAAACTAAAAAATATGTTTGTTCAAGCCTAAAATATTTATATTTTTTTTATTATTTAAAAAAATTAATTAGAAAAAAATTATTTGAAAAAAAAAAATCGTTTAGTAAGTCGGAGAGAAAAAATTATGTTAAAAAAAAAATAAAATAATGTAAAACTCATTTTTGGAGTTTTACGTTTTTTTCTCAAATTTATAAACTGAGACAACCATTTATAAACCAAAAAAATTATCAAACAAGTTTTTATGACAGTTTTTTAAATTTTTATAAATATAAACTGAAACGAAATGGTTACCAAACAGAGATTCAATGCTAGCCTTTTTCAACTCATGTAAGCCATACCCATCTAGATTCAAATTCACAGTCCTCGTTGTTCCTGATCTGGATCATCCCATAGTTTTTTCACTCGGCCACGGGATCTTCTGTCTCTCAAAACCTGTGTCCCCAATATCCTTCCAACTGCACAATGGTGCTTTAAGATTTTTGTATTTTGAAATTTCTACTGCATCGTGCAATCAGGACTGATGTTCACTAACCCAGCATTTTGAATCCTTGCAGTAGCTAATGGCAGATTTCAGCTTCTCATTCCTCTCCTCTTCATTCATTTCACTATAATAGTTACAGTTCTTCGTCGACAACTTCCCACCATCACCGCGGCTAGTTTTGTTCTCTGACAAGTCACACAAATCCATTCTCATTTTCCTCTTGTATTTTTCTTTGGTTCCTGGTTTTGTCGGCTTGTAATATGTTAAGTACCTCTTGAGCTTCTGCGTCACCGATGTCCAGAACCTCTAGTGATTACACCTTGCTAGGTCCACAAGTTGAGGTTGGACATAAATGAAACAGAGCCATTTGTGGATTTGTGTGATGAGTTTAAATTTGAGGGCTTCATGGAGGAGAGAGAGAGAGAGAGAGAGGTTGAGACATAAATGAAATAGAGCCATTTGTGGCTTTGTGTGATGAGTTTGAATTTGAGGGGTTCATGGAGGGGAGAGAGAGAGGAGAGGTGTGAAGATTCAAAAAAAGTTGCTCTCTAATATGCAATGATGTGTGTACGTTTTGGTGGTTTAAGTAAAGCTTGGAATTATTTTTTATTTTTCTAACTTTGATCCTTCAAGGCTATAAATATGTATGTTTCTATGTATACAAGTTTCCTTTCCAAAATAGGTTAGGGTTAAAGCGTTTCAATAGGACATACATAACTTACCATGAGAGAGAGAGAAAGAGAGAGAGAGAATGGCCATGATAGCAGGACTTTCGTAATTGGCTTGCTCTATAACTTCCTGCTCTGGGAAACGGAATAAAGAGTTTTCACAATAATGTAGAAAACTACAAATTCAATCAATTGGGTTATTTAAATTGGCCAAAATATTTGCAGTTCACTAAGAGATCAAGGGTTCAAGTTCTGCCTCACCAAACTAAAAAGTTATAGCTTTCCATGTAACAAAAATAATAAATAATAACAATAATAATACAAATTCTCGAGGGAGATGAAGAGGGAGGAGGAGAAAGAGAGAGATTGCACCTACGCTCTCGACAGGGCTGAGTTTAGGCTATAGGTCAGGCCCATCTTGAAAAAGTGCATGTAGCTCTCCTGTATTGTTGGGTCCATCTAGACTCTTTTTGTCTAGTTCTCCAGGACTTTATGGTCGTGCCCAAAGAGGCTTCATAAAGGAATCCTTATAGCTCACTAGCAACGAACCCAGATTATAACCTCCGATGTAATGAGAGAGAGAGTAGCCACTTGTATTGACCCCTATGCTTTCCCTTCATAATTGAAATGGGGATGAAGCATTCTATTTTATCAAACTAAGGTGTTGTTTTCTTCATAACTTGTTAAAATATAAAGGTTCTATGTTTCACTACTTCAAGCTGGGCAAAAATTGATAGTGTAAAAAATTGACACCAAAAACTGAAAGCTTTGGAATCTGAATATATATAACAATACAAAACAGATATGCATTCCCAAAATGACTAATAAAAATCTAACCCCCCTGCCGGGGCAATTTCTGGTCTCAAATCTATGTATATGTACAATTTGAGAATCAAATAACCTTACAATTCATCACGAGAACTTCCCTTAGATGAAACAAACTTGGGTTGTTGATATTCAATGAGGTATCTTGTAGCCAACGATGCATGTAATGCAGCACCATATGGATGTACATCTTCATTTATAGTGAAGTACGGAGAGTGCGCCGGTCCAGGCTGGCCTTGACTCTCATTTTGCATTCCAACCATGTAGAAGTATCCCAAAACCGCCTCTGCAAAAAACGAGAAGTCTTCTGCCCCCATCAATGGTTGCATCTCTAGAACGTTTTTCTCACCCAACATATCCCTTGCAACATTTCCAAAGTACCGATGCAACTCTTTGTTGCTTACGGTTGAGAGGTAAAGGGGCTTGTCATCAAAGTTGACAGTTGCGTTGCACCTATGCACAACCACTTGTCCCGTAATGACTTGTCATTTGCATTTATCTGTAATGAGATGCTATACAGAAAATATAAAATAGAAAATAAAATAAAAAACAAACAAAAATGAATGACCAAGCACGATTTCATTTTCTTAATGATTATCTTGGTGGTCTTTCTTTTTGGCTAATTCGTCCTATTCTATATTGATCAGAAGCATCCTAGAGCGCCACAACAGTTTAGAATTTGATTCTAAGAGCTAAGGCTCCCCTAATCCCCCCATTCCTCAATGGCGTGTAGACCAGGCCTTACAAGTCCTTCACTTGTATGAAATCTCCACTCATTCCTTGCTCTTTAGCTTAGTGGGGGTAGGGTAATTTTTTTACTGATACACAATAAATAAGATGGATTTCTGGGCGTCCGTATCATGGTGAAGGTAATGCTATGATTCTTGCTCAATCTTCCAACTATGAAAAATAAAGAGCATGTAAGTTGGTGGTTTTTAACAACTGTACCTCCTAAATTCGTTGTTTAAGTTGCATCAAACTTTCTTTCGAAAATGCCCTGAATGTTCCACCAATTGTAACTGAATTGGGAATTACATTGAATGCACCACCTCCTTGAAATTTTGCCACTGTCACTACCTGCAAGATGAATAAGCACACATGTGATGGTTAAAAAAAAGTAAAAGATGTGTAATTTGTGCACAAAATACCTTCTTTTTTTCTTTTTCTTTTTTTCTTTTTTTTTGTACGCAAGGGAATACAAAATAATTGGTTTTGGTTTTGTAATTTTTGAAGCTAAGCTGGGATACAGCACAGGAAGTAAAAGATTCCATTATTTCATATCTAAAGAAAAAGACTAAACGTGGAACCTTTACCTAAACAACGAGAGATGAAAAAGAAGATAAGAAATTACAAATATTCTTCAATGAGTGAAATAGATATATAGGTTTGTCAACTAATGAAAAAGATATAAAACTAGTTAGGCGAGTTGTTTTCGAAAGGAAATACCGAAAAAGTTGTTTTCAAAATTTCAAAAAACTATTTACACACAAGAAATGAAAATGATATACAAACAATGAGAGTTTACGAACATTTCATTGGTCCTATTTTTGAAAACATGAAAATGAAAATGTAGAAAACAAGAACACAATGCAATTCTGTTCTGTACATATAATTTTTAGAAATCATGATGACTATGATTCAGAAAAGTGAAAATTTTGAAAACCTTGCACCTTTTAAGGAAGAAGGGTTTTGGGCATTTGACTCTTGATTCATTTTGATTCAACTATTTCAACACATAAGAAAAACCTTCTTTGGGGTTGGCATCACACACGTGCACATGCATGCACATACATTATAAGAGAGAGAGAGAGAGAGAGAGACCTGTGAATTCAAGGGATCGGCTTCACGTGAAACGAGATGTTGCAAACTAACAATTACATTGGAAGCTGCTAAGATTGGATCAATTGGATGTTGGGAAATCGCAGCATGTCCCCCTTTCCCACTTATCACAACCTTAAAGAAACCGCTCCCAGCCAAGACAGGGCCACTCCTGCCAGCAACTGTACCAATAGGAAATCTAGATGAGACATGCAACCCGAAGATGGCGTCAACATTCTCCAATATCCCGACTTCTAACATTATCTTTGCTCCTCTACCTCCTTCCTCTGCCGGTTGGAAAACCAGAATCATCATTCCCTATTCACCCCAAAAAATATAAGTTGTACAAATTTTATTAATACTGTGATGTTAGCAACAATAGTTACAACTCTTTGAGAGAAAAAATTATAATCGAGCTTTTAATGTGAAAATGTGGACATGGGATCTCTTGTCCTAAAAAAGGTCCATTTGTCCCACACATTCACGCTATGCAATATGATTTTTAATTTAAAAAAATCAATTCGTGTAGTTGTGAGTGATAAGACATAAGGACAGACCTTCAAACAAAATGTCACACTTGCATTACTAGATGGTGAGGAACAACTTATTGACAATGAACATCTCTCTCTCTCTCTCTCTCTCTCTCTCTCTCTCTCTCCACATGCTCAAATTTATCACATACAAGCCCTATTAGGAACATTGAAAACAAATGGGAGAAGTACCCAAACATATACACAACGACATATATAAATTTATAATCTTTTTCATTTTGTTGATTGTAAATTTTATTTTATTTCATTCAACCGCCACAAGATCCTCTGTTCCTAAATCCCTTTTATCCCTATGTCCCAATGTATTTTTATTTGTATGATCATGTCATGCCCCCAAAATAATACAATAAACCTATCTACCATGCGGAAGAATATAACAGAAATACAATACTTGCATTCATCAGAGTTCAGTGTTTAACAAACAGTTAAATGCCATGTAGGCTTACATCTTTCCAAGTCATTACTTGGTTACACAAATTGAGTCTCGCTCATTACATCTTAAGCCCTTGGCTTTACAAATAATAAAACATATACACAACAAGACATAATTAAGAAGCTCTTGCTACCCAAAACTCTATCCATGCTATTGCCTTGTAGGAAGCATCTCACCTGTACCTGAAAATGGTATTCCCATATAGGGTGAGCTAACAGCCCAGTAGAAATAATCTAACACAATTTATGAGGTTTAGCAAAAGTATAAATACCATGTACATAAACAATACCGATCCTGAAACATCCACAAGACTTGCATATCCATAGGCCACTAAGACCAACCTTATTCCATTTTCTTTCAATTCATTTCCAATTCATATATGCTACTCAATTCATGAGTTAAATTCATTATCTTTTAACAACCAAAATGAGACTACAACTCAATGATTTTCTAATTATGCAAAACTCACATAAACACTTCAAACTTGCCATTTTACGGATATTCCGTCCGAAGGAATCGGCACCCATTTATATATAAAATTTTGGGTCTTTCACCCAAGACACTCCAGCCAACTTGCTTTAAATGGAGTCCATCCCCTTTCTCCTCCCAAACAAATATACATATACAATGTATTTATAAGCATAATCACATATGGAGTACATCCCCTTTCTCCTCCCAATAAACATACATATACAATGTATCTATAACATGGTCATATTCAACGACACCAACAATGGATTAGCATTAAATCGCCTAATCTTCATGTAATTTCTACAACAATCATAGGTATCCTCCACCGATAGCCCAATGCAATTATTTCTAAAGAGATGTTCAATATTAAAATAAATAGTTTATTCAAAACTTCCATAAGTGAGATAGTACATATCCAATATCACCATTTATAATCACAACCTTCCAATTTCACGTTTTCAATGTTAATTCCAATTATTTATGCAAAATAATAATTTAATCAAAATTAGGGCAGAATTCCCCTTCCACCAAATATCAACCCAAACACCAAAATCAACTATTTTGGCACAACATGATCTTATATTCAAGCCTCATACTTGTTTACCTCATATTCATCAAAACCCCTCTTTTCATTTCACACCCAAATCCTAGATTTGTCCAAACCACAACCAAATCTCATCATCTATACACAATTGCAAATAACTAAGCTAAAAACCATATTAGAGTGTAGAAAATCCCTACCTCAAGTTTGAAGAAGAAACGAGTTGAAACCCTAAAATCAACGATGCCTAAACTCAATCTCCACCGCACAGAACGTAGCCCTCGCCTAGATAACCAACTTTGATGAAGGACTTGGATCTAAATCCCAATGAATTTGGAGAAATCAAAGATCTTGTGAGGTTTTTGGTAGGAAATGTAGAGAGAAGAGAGAGGAAATGTTTTAAGAGAAAGAGATATATACAAAAGTGACATTCAATCAGCCCAAAGAGAGAAGAAAAGGAAAAATTCCGGATCTACCTAACTTCCCGCACTTCCAGCCGCACCTACCTTTTTAGCAGTGTGCTTTAGCGTGCTTCAACCCCCTGCCCTATTTTCCGCACGTGCGGCCTCATTCCCCGCATGTGCGGCTCTCTTCCGCACTCCAGATCGACCGAGTGAACAAGCAACTTCGAATGCGTTTTGTATTTTTTTTTTGAGGGGCGCTACCCCTCAACCCCGCCAAGGGGCGTTGCCCCCTAGACCCCCGCAAGCTGACCAGGTAGCTCAACCCCTGATCGGCCCAGTCAAAGTGGCCAAACATGAAAGAATGATCGAAACCGAGATCGCTACAGATCATGTCTCTAGATTTTCACCGCATCATGTGGTTGAGAGTGCATTGGAACATACGAGACAGAAAGATTTACGGATGAAGAATCACTGGCCTATTCAACCAATTTGTGTGCACGTCTATTCTAGGTAATATGGTTGACCCCTATGGAAGATGGAATCACATTTGATGTAGTTAAAGAGGCAGAACCCAATTCTGGTTGTTTGTTTTGCACTCAATTGTATGTTCGTAACTGAAATGACCTTATTTTATTCTTGAAAATGAAACCCTAACCAAAAACCCAATGGAAAATAACATGAAACTGAAGAATACCACACTTTGACATAGTAGTACTGTAAACGAATTATTGCTTATCACAGGGAGACCAATATAAGCAAGCCTAGTAGTACGCAAGGTAGGCCAGGTTCTTAAAGAAAGAGAGAATGGAGAAAGAACTAGCAAGTAGTCAATGCATGATGTTATTCTTCTCCACAAGACAAAATAACACAAGTTTTGTTTGGCCTAACGGAATCCCATTTGGTTGCATAGAATACCAAAGGTGCTAGTGTCATTGAATACCTAAGAAACATTTCCCACTTTTGTAAAGAAACCTCCCTGGTTATTTGGTCGGAGTAAGATGCCACGACCATGCATCTTTCCTGGAATTTTACTCTTGTGCTTCCATTTTTGGAATTAGTTAATCTTGATCTAATCACAAATCACGTAGGATTTTCAATTATTATTTTTAAATTTCAACAGACCTTTTTTCTTTTTGGAACAATTTAATTTCAACATAGTATTTAAAGAAGATTCACATAGGAATCTTGGTTCTAACATTGAACAACACCATTGCAAAATTTCAATCATCATTCTATATACTCAAATCAAAAGAGAATGAATTGCCTTCGCATAAAGCCCGAAGAGTTTACTTTTGTCCCCGAAACTATTGTCATTTAAAAAAAAATTAAAAAAAAAATCAAGCTTAAACTATTGATGATTTCATATATTTAGTCCCTTGAGTTTTTTTTTTTTTTTGTATGGTCCAATTGAAGACATCATGTCCAAATTTGTGTGTAAACCTAACCTACCACGCAAAAAGGTAATTTTACAATTTGGAAAATCTAAGACAGTATTTGATAAAGTTTTAGAATTATAATTTGATAATAAAGTTGTATTTTGAGTCTATGAGTTTTGGAATTATGATTTGAAAACAACCGCCACAAGATCCTCTGTTCCTAAATCCCTTTTATCCCTATGTCCCAATGTATTTTTATTTGTATGATCATGTCATGCCCCCAAAATAATACAATAAACCTATCTACCATGCGGAAGAATATAACAGAAATACAATACTTGCATTCATCAGAGTTCAGTGTTTAACAAACAGTTAAATGCCATGTAGGCTTACATCTTTCCAAGTCATTACTTGGTTACACAAATTGAGTCTCGCTCATTACATCTTAAGCCCTTGGCTTTACAAATAATAAAACATACATACAACAAGACATAATTAAGAAGCTCTTGCTTCCCAAAACTCCATCCATGCTATTGCCATGTAGGAAGCATCTCACCTGCACCTGAAAATGGTATTCCCATATAGGGTGAGCCAACAGCCCAGTAGAAATAATCTAACACAATTTATGAGGTTTAGCAAAAGTATAAATACCATGTACATAAACAATACCGATCTTGAAACATCCACAAGACTTGCATATCCATAGGCCACTAAGACCAACCTTATTCCATTTTCCTTCAATTCATTTCCAATTCATATATGCTACTCAATTCATGAGTTAAATTCATTGTCTTTCAACAACCAAAATGAGACTACAACTCAATGATTTTCCAATTATGCAAAACTCACATAAACACTTCAAACTTGCCATTTTACGGACATTTCGTCCGAAGGAATCGGCACCCATTTATATATAAAATTTCGAGTCTTTCACCCAAGACACTCCGGCCAACTTGCTTTAAATGGAGTCCATCCCCTTTCTCCTCTCAAACAAATATACATATATAATGTATTTATAAGCATAATCACATATGGAGTACATCCCCTTTCTCTTCCCAATAAACATACATATACAATGTATCTATAACATGGTCATATTCAACGACACCAACAATGGATTAGCATTAAATCGCCTAATCTTCATGTAATTTCTACAACAATCATAGGTATCCTCCACCGATAGCCCAATGCAATTATTTCTAAAGAGATGTTCAATATCAAAATAAATAGTTTAATCAAAACTTCCATAAGTGAGATAATACATATCCAATATCACCATTTATAATCACAACCTACCAATTTCACGTTTTCAATGTTAATTCCAATTATTTATACCAAATAATAATTTAATCAAAATTAGGGTAGAATTCCCCTTTCACCAAATATCAACCCAAACACCAAAATCAACTATTTTGACACAACATGATCTTATATTCAAGCCTCATACTCGTTTACCTCATATTCATCAAAACCCCTCTTTTCATTTCACACCCAAATCCTAGATTTGTCCAAACCACAACCAAATCTTATCATCTATATACAATTGCAAATAACTAAGCTAAAAACCATATTAGAGTGTAGAAAATCCCTACCTCAAGTTTGAAGAAGAAACGAGTTGAAACCCCAAAATCAATGATGCCTAAACTCGATCTCCACCGCACAGAACGTAGCCCTCGCCTAGATAACCAACTTTGATGAAGGACTTGGATCTAAATCCCAATGAATTTGGAGAAATCAAAGATCTTGTGAGGTTTTTGGTAGGAAATGTAAAGAGAAGGGAGAGGAAATGTTTTGAGAGAGAGAGAGAGAGAGAGAGAGATACAAAAGTGACATTCAATTAGCCCAAAGAGAGAAGAAAGGGAAAAATTCCGGATCTACCTAACTTCCCACACTTCCAGTCGCACCTACCTTTTTAGCAGTGTGCTTCAGCCCTCTGCCCTGTTTTCTGCATGTGCAGCCTCATTCCCCACACGTACAGCCCTCTCCCGCACTCCAGACCGACCGAGCAGACAAGCAACTTCAAATGCGTTTTGCATTTTTGTTTTGAGGGGCGCTGCCCCTCACCCCCGCCAAGGAGCGCTGCCCCCTGGACCCCCGCAAGCTGACCAGGCAGCTCGACCCCCGACCGGCCCAGTCAAAGTGGCCAAACATAAAAGAATGATCGAAATCGGGATCGCTACAGATCATGTCTCTAGATTTTCACCACATCATGTGGTTGAGAGTGCATTGGAACATACGAGACAGAAAGATTTACGGATGAAGAATCACTGGCCTATTCAACTAATTTGTGTGCACGTCTATTCTATTACATACATAAAAGGTTGAGTTAGTATTGACACTTTTTTGTCACAAAATTTTCATTCCCAAATTACCCTTCTATAACTAACAATTCAAGTATAGATCTTTCTGTAATTTCCAATTTAATCTATAACTGCTCAAGCCACATGAAAATTTCTAGCACACCCTTGTGAGTGCACAAAATCCATTTCCAAAGGATGTTCACAAGTGCCTGAGCAAGGTGAAACATAGATAAAATTGTTGAAAATCATATAGTGATGAACAATTATGCTATAACAAGATTTTCAATATATAAAAGGCATTTAGAAATTCATAATCAAGTTACTAAAAATTCAAAAATGAGATAATTGAATCTGTAAATCGTGACAATGCTCTTGAAGCAATTTTGCTGCACCAAGAAGCATCGCAGCGTGGGCATCATGGCCATAACCATGCATCTTTCCTAGAATTTTACTCTTGTGCTCCCATTCTACACTCTCCTGTAATCATCAAAACTCTTTATTTTATTATTATTTTTAAATTTCAACATACCTTTTTTATTTTTGGAACAATTTAATTTCGACATCGTATTTAAAGAAGATTCACATAAGAATATAGGTTCTAACATTGAACAACACCATTGCAAAATTTCAATCATCATTCTATATACTCGAATCAAAAGAGAATGAATTTCCTTCGCATAAAGCCCGAAAAGTTTACTTTTGGCCCCTAAACTATCCTCATTTAAAAAAAAAAAATTCAACCTTAAACTATTGATTTCATACATTTAGTGCCTTGAGTTTTTTTTATATGGTCCAATTGAAGACATCATGTCCAAATTTGTGCATAAACCTAACCTACTACGCAAAAAGGTAATTTTACAATTTGGAAAATCTAAGACAGTGTTTGGTAGAGTTTTAGAATTATGATTTGAGAATAGAGTTGTATTTTAAGTCTGTGAGTTTTGGAATTATGATTTAAAAAAAGAAATTTGTTTGGTTATAAGTTTTGAATTAAGTTTTGATTTTTTTTTCATGTGACATATGGAATGAGAAAAGTTGTTTAGTTATGAGTTTTGAAAAAAGTTTTCAAAACTTAATTTAAAAACTTATAACTCATAACCAAACACATAACTCAAAACTCTATTGAAAATTCTATTCAAAATTCATAACCAAACTCTTTTTAAAATTCAATTCAAAAAAATAATTTGTCATTTTGGTCTAAAAAAATAATTTCTATATTTAAAAAATATCAAAAACAGATATAACTTTTTTTCTTCCAAATAACAGGTAAAAAAAAAAAAAAAAATAGCACTATTCCGGTCAACTGGCCGGATGTCCGAAAAGATGATCAGGTAGACCCAAAATTCAAAAACTCCTCTGCTTTTCAGAATGGAGAAGACGAAAGAGAAAGTATGTACGAATCTACCAAACGTGAAAGAAAAATATGTTTTGAAATGTGTGGTGGATCACATTTTCAAAACTCCATCCAAACAATGCATGCAAACGGAGGGTTGTAATTATGATTAGAAAATATAACCAAACACTGCCTAAACTATACGGCCAAACACTCAACTTCTTACTCACACTGTATTAAACAACTTACATCCTAACCATACACCCATTTTTTTCTCTTCCCCTCATCTCAAATAGTGAATAAAAAAATGAGTGTTTTGTTATATGATTGAAGTTATTCAAATTTCAAAATGACTATTTTGCCTATAAAATTAGACTTTAATGCTTACGAATTTGGACAATTGTCTCTTGTTGGACCTCATTAACTGAAATTATAAACTCTAATACTAAATTAGGCAAATATTATGATAAAATAAAATAGAATGTCGTTATTTCTTATTGTTTAGGGCACAACCAAGGCATTTTTGTGGTTATTTTAATGCTTACACTCCGTCTAGATTGTATGGTGAGGTGAGAGGGGGGGCGGGAAATGATTATGATTTCTCACCATTATGTTTAGATGAATAAAAGAGAAGAGTATGTAATTTTTCACCTATCGTATTTAGAAAGAATAAATAAAAGGAAAGAATGGAAAGTGTTGTACATTATTTTACTAAAATAAAGTTCGATATTAATAAGTTATGTTTTTCATAAAGATAATTTTGTTAATTTAAAAATCTTTCATTAAATTCAAAAGTAATGCTTCTTACGCCACTATTTCAACTATTACACCCTTCAATTTTATTTATTTTTATTACATTTCAATCCTCATATAAAATTATTAAAATGCCCTTCCATCTTAGAATTTGAAAACCCTAATTTTTCATTACCCCGCATTAGCACAAGAGATGGCAATTTGAACCTGGCCCGACGGGGACCCGACCCCCTGACCCTGATTAGAACAGATTTTTCCCAAAAATTACTCCCCGTAGGGCCAGAGATGGTATTAAAAATAAAATCCCTGATCATTTTCGGGCCGGGGACGGGGATAGGTTCCCCAACCCCGGCCCCGCCCCCTAATTATCCCCAAACGTGGCCCGTATATATATATTTTATTTATAAACCATTCATTTTCGGCCCCTCTCTCTTATTCGAATCCCTTATTTCTCTCTCTCTTCTCTTTCTCTCTCTCTCTCTCGCTCTACTTCACCGCCGATCTCCACTCGCTACTCTCCTCCACCGCCGATCTTCACTCGCCACTCTCCTCCACCGCTCGATCTTGCCACCAACGTCGTTGTACACCACCGATCTCGCTACCACCGTCATTGCACACCACCAATCCCGCCACCAACGTCGTTGCACACCACCGATCGCCATCATCCGTTGCACAACACTCCTTCCACCGTAGATCTGTTGAACATATCTAAATTTTTTGAACATATCTAAATTTTTCTATTGAACATATATCTGTAATATCTGTTGTTGAACATATCTACATTTTTTCTATTAGGATTTTGATAGATCCGTGGTTGTTTTGAACAGATCCATGATTTTTTTGAACAGATCTGTGGTTCTCTCTTCTCTTTCTTCTCTGCTAATCACCTTTTTTGTTGATTGTTGTTATTTTGTACGGGGATTAATCGGGGTCGCGGAAACCCAATCCCCGTCAGGGCCAGGGACGGGGAATTTTGTAGCTTCGGGGATCAGGAACGGGGAGTGTAGTCCTTGGCCCCGCCCCGCCCCGTTGCCATTCCTATTTAGCATCATCTCTACCGACCCACCACTTCAGCTACCCCTTTGCACCGACAAGCCCCTCATGCCAGTCGCAATCACCCAGTCCCTCACCGTCAGCCGCCGGTACCTAGACCATCTCCATCTCACCTCACCACCCCCAACCCTTCTCCATCACCTGAAACAAGACCCCGAAGGAGAACATCTTTCAATTGCTTCCAAAGTTACCCACAACTGGGTTGCCAATACAAATACATCTATATTTATATGTGCATATATTATATGCAATAAATTCAAAAGAGATAGAGAAACAAAGAACCCATTAAGATTTTTCCCATATTATAAATTAGAGCTTGTTTCATATACTTAATTTCACATATCTTACAAAGCAAAGAGATTTGTAGAGGGATCAAGAGAGTGACAGACATAGTCTTGCATATATAATAGATTTTGTTTTATATATAAAACTCCAATCAAGTGCTATTATTAATTTTATTTTCTTAGATTTTGATATGTTAATTTGGTGAAATTTGAATTATTGTTTCGCATTTAGAAATTTGGGTTTGATGAGTTTCATCTCACTTTTGATTAGTTCCTCTATTATGGAAAGAAAAAGAAGAGGGCAGAAGAGATGATCGGAGGTGGCGGTGTGCAGGAGGTCGCTGGAGGTAGTCGCTGGTGGGCTGGATATGGATGTTGGAGTTGGAGATAGCGGTTGTGGTTGTGGTTGTGGTTGTGATTGCGGCTGCCGGAGGTGGTGGTTGGGGGGATGAGGTACAGTTAGGGTTTGTTAAGTTGGGGGTGTAAGGATGAGGTTTGTGATTATGGTGATTGTAAAAAATAATTGAATTTTGTATGTTGTGGAGTGAGAAATTGAGTTTAAAGAGAATTTTTTTATTGTGCAAGTAGAATTTCTCTAAACCCAATTCATTTTCTATCAAATCTCGTCATTTTTTATGGGAAACAAAACATAAGTTTGGTGAAAATCTTTTTCTTATCATCTCTCATCATTTTTTTTATTATTTTTCACCTATTTAACAATCTAAATAAGTGAGAGAATTTCTTATCCTCATCATTTTTTTTCCCTCACCAAACCCCTCAATCTAAACTGAGTGTTAGTGGTTTAATCCGCTTTTTAAAATCTAGTCTAATAACACTTACAAAAAATAATAAAAAATATTGATAAATTTTAATATTGTGTTTGAATTATGAATGAGTAAAAATCTGGAAAATAAAAAAATAAAAAATGAATGAAATATATATATTAAATTTTTTCTTCATTTCCTTTTCTTTTCTAAATTTTTAAGAAAAAAAAATGAGAAAAAAAAAACATATATTTCATTTACATTTCACTCAATTATTTTTTTTTCTTTAAAACAATCTTACCAAAATTTATGATCTAAATACAACTTTAAGAGGCTACTTTCTGAATGCAAATAATACCATTCACACAAAAAATTAAATAAATAAATAAAATGAAAGGTGCGTTTCATTCGATTTTGAAGTAAACTAAGATCAAATCACCTCTATGATTTCATAAAATTTAAAACCAAACAGAATCATGAAAATTTTGATATCAGACCGAACCGAACCAGGAATATGTGATTCGGTTCAGTTCATTTTTATTTGAAACTACCGTTTTCATGAATTGTCATTATTTAGAACATAATCATAACTCGCTCAAAGATTAAGCAATAGTATATCATCATTTTACAAATAAAAATTGTTTAGAACTAATTCTACTATTACACAAGAACACACTTGTAATCAAAAGAGTAGACAACTTATGAATATATATAAAATACTTATAAGCTAGTGTCTACTATAAATAACAAATTATATATATATATATATATAAACAGTCCAGTTTGGTTCCAAATAAAAATCATAACTATAAAATCACAAACCAAACCGTGAAATACAGTTCACCTGTTTTAAGAACTAGGACTGAATCATACATTGCAAAAATCAAATCAAACAATTCGATTTGATCCAAATTGGATTAATTTGTGATTTTTTCGTTTTGTTTTCTCAACCCTAAAATGAACTCATCCATTTGAAAACATATTTGGGCTCAAATAGCATAACTCTAAACACAAGTTTATTGAGCCTAGCAAGAACCCAGAGGGTAACATGACCAATAACCAAGTCAATATATTTTTTTCCAATCAACATAAGTATTTTATTCATTCAAGAGCTCGTGCAATTCAATCACATAAAAGGAGATAGGTGAAACAGTTGAGAAGTAAGTCGATACCAATGGTGAAAGTTGACTGGAATGAGCATTACGGTGAGGATGCTACATGGGAAATGGAAGAGGAAATGAAAGTCCGACATCTAGAATTGTTTTTGGAACAAGGTAACTCAAGTTTAGGGACCAAACTTCTTTAAGGGGGGTAGGATGTAACAACCTTTACTTCAACTTAGTTATACTTGCATACATTTATGTATGATCTTGCTTTGTTATGTGCATTTGCAAATCTTGTCTTGCTTTGCTTGAGTATTGCTTGCATACT